AAAGGAAAGGAAAGGAAAGGAAAGGAAAGGAAAGGAAAGGAAAGGAAAGGAAAGGAAAGGAAAGGAAAGGAAATTTTCCATTTCTCCAAAAATGCCAAGAAAAAATGGTAGAGGTTCACCAGTAAAGAAGATCAAGATCAAGAAATTCCATCTCCCTTCTAATGCCAAGTCCTCATTGATCCCCTTTCTTTTAATAGTCTGCTCCTGATTTAACCTCCAAGATTATTTCTTATCACTCACAATGAAATAAATTATACATATTAATATTTTTTAAGCCAAACTTAAAAATGCTAATCAAAACACCCTTTCATGAAAAATGTCTAGGTCTATGGTCTTCCCCACAAGTCTGCCCCTTTCCTCCCATGTCACCCACCTTCCACGGTGGAGATGGTTCCTTCCGCAGAAGGAAGAAGTCGTAGCAGCAGACGGGCTGCCCTTCCCGACCCACCTTCCGGAATCCAGGACAACAGCGTTCCACACACCTGGAAGGAGGCAGGGGCTGAGCAGAGAGAGGAAGAACATCCAGAATATAAACTTATTTTCAGAAAAATGGCGACGGAGGAAAGGGTTGGTGATCTCCAGTTCAAGGTTTAGCGTTGACTAGTTAGAAGCCAATAAGAAATGTGATGTTCAAACAGATTGAACCGCATATTCCTTCTGTTTCTCTTCCCTTTTGATGTTTCATACACCCTACAAGTTTTAGACTTTCATTCTAAATTGAGATAAATTTAGATAAATTTAAATTTATCGGGAAAATGTTGGATGGATTCTTTGCTTTGCTGGGTAAACCACATTATTTGCATGACTGGCTCCGTCTACCTCCCTTTCCATAGGCTCAGTGAATAGTTTACCTGAAAATTGAAGACTCTATTTTTCAAGGGCTCCTGAATAGCCGATAAAGAAGAAATTCAGACTCTTGAGAACCTGATGAGTTGAAATGAAAACTCAAAGGCACATCCTCCCCCAAAGAAGCACAATCCTGTTGTTACCAGCCTTAGTGGAGTGAAATCAATATTATTGCTACCTTGGTCAGCATTTCCACTTGGTCGATGGTAAATTTAAAATCCTGAGATGCCTGTTTTTCTGGACTCCCAGATTTCACTCTCTTGACAGATTTGTTGGGGAAAACTACCCAGTGCACAATGTCCAGGTCAGCTGTCAGATCTCCTTTCTCATCCAGGTATACCCCACCCATGGAATGATTGTGAAGCAGAGAGTTTTGAAGGAAGGAGTAGAGCTGGAAAGGAAAGGAAAAGAAGAATTTAGAAGGGACATCAAAAGATTTTTTATTTATTTTTTTAAGATGTCTTGGTCTGTGTTGGGAGGGATCTGAACATTTCTCTCTCTCTGTTCAAAAACCAGGTTCTATTTTAAGTTTCCAGCTTGGTTAGGAGAGTATCAATACGCACAGGAATAAGAACAGCTGCTAACTTCATGGTGAAATATGTAGATCAGAACAATGATTGTAAAGGGTGGGAGTTTCAACATCTGGTCATGTTCTTGTTCCCACCACTTTATGACAGCAGTGCTAACATACAACTGCTCTGAAGGCAAACAACCAATTCTCTTTTCATTGATGTTTTATTAACCTAAAAAAAAAAATTAACCTAAAAAAGCAATTTTCAGCCATTCAGATTTTCCTTTAGCTTGAGGAATGTTGTGTGGTTTTTCTCTTTTGCAGTATCATTAGTTGCCCAATTGAGCTAGGTAGTTTCACATTTCCTCCCTTCCTGTGTTGTTCTCCTGGTCTTCAGCAGTGAAGATCAATGACTTAGCACAGGAAGTACCACTGATGATCCAAAGATATTGGTCCACCACACCTCTCTTCTTGCTAACAGTCATTCCTTTCTGTGATTGGAGAGTATTAGTTGGTACTCTCTCACAGTTTAAAGTGTAACCCCAATTTGGCTCCTGGTTAGCACAACCTTAGCCCTGGGATCAAGTCAACAGGTCAGAATCGCTGATGGAGGAGAAGAGGTCTCTTCTATGTTCACACCAACACCCTTATGCATTAGAAGGAGCATGACAGGTATGTGTTGTGTGCATCGTGTTGCATGAATGCTGCTTTGTACAGTACATTTCTCTCCCTCTTTGTTTTAATAGGAAGCCTCCAAAATTTTGGCTGTCTTTCATGGGACCCAAGTCTTGTTTATTCTCTTCCTGTCCTTTCCTACAATCGCTTCTTCAGACTGCCTTCCTCCTGTGCAATTGACATTTGCATGCCACCGATGGATTCTGGGAGAGTGAAGCGGAGCTCACCGTGAGCTACAAAGAAGTGAGACTTCAGCTCATCGGATCAAGCCAGCTACCCATGCGTGAATTTTACAACTAAGAATCTAAATCAAGAAGTCTACAAGGGAAAATCTATTTGGAAAATGCACTTGGATCTGCAGAACACTCAAGATTAATAAAGTCATGGAGAAAGAAGCTAGCACTGTGGTGACCTGCAAGGCATGTGCTATGTTTGTATTCCTGCCTGAGAAGGACTCCAATTATACCTGAACCAAATGCAGAATGATCAGATTGCTGGAGGAGAAACTGGAGGGTCTAGAGGGATGTCTAGCGATTCTGAGACTCATCCATGAAAATGGGGATTTCCTGGAAAAGGCAGAAGTCTGTCTACAAACTGACCACAGTTTGTCTCCACAGGAGGAGGCATGACAGCATGTCACTCGGAGGACAAAGGAAAGAAGAAAACTCTCCCTGCCACTGGAGCTTACCAATCAATTTCATACCCCGCCACCACCCCCCCACCAGAAGAAGACATGCAGACCTCTGGAGAAGGGTCTCATCAAGTGTCCCCGTAACAGGAAGAGAAGGAGCTCAGACTGCCACAGAGAAGTGGAGTCCGCTGGATGTCCCAAAGAGGAAAGGGCATATGGTGGTGATTGGTGACTCACTTCTCAGAGGAACCAAATCCACAATCTGCAGACCAGACAAGCTATCAAGGGAAGTATGTTGTCTCTCAGGTGCAAAGATCAAAGACGTGGCAGAGAGACTCGTTCAACTAATCAAGCCCACTGATTATTATCCCTTTCTCTTCTTTTGTGTAGAGACAAACGATACAACAAAAAAGAGCCTGAAAACAATATCAAGGGACTATGAGGAGCTAGGCTAGAAGGCAAAAGAGTTGGGAGCACAGGTAGTTTTTTCATCCATACTTCCAACGGATGGTCAAAGTGATGGAAGGCATGAGCAGGGAGGATTCTGGAATGGAGCTTCAAGGTTAATGGGAGAGGGGAGAGACATTTCAAGGAAAGCATATCCTCAGCCCCCAGCTGGACTGTGTGAAAGTCAAGAGAAAGAGACTGGCCCCTCCCTACGGGCATAATGGTTATAGTTGCTGTTGTTGGGGGATTAGAGTTCGTCTGGTGAGATTCTGGCTATTAGGTGCAAGCTAATA